CCCCCAGCCTTCCCTCACCTCAGACACACCAAGTTCCGGGCTCTGAGCACCCTGCAGGTGAAACAGGGAGGACCAGAGAGGGAAGGGACAGCGGGGCAGATATGGAGGAGAGAGGATGGGCATCTGGGGCCAGGAGCTGGCCGGGCAGGGTGGGAACCCTCCTGTCCCAGGGTCTGAGTCGCCCCCCCAGGCACCAGCCAGTAGGCCCATTCCAGCTTTCCATGACTTTCCTAGTAAGTACTGAAAGAACAAACGCACATCTAACACTGTGGCTTTGTCCAGTGGGGCCCCAGGCCACCATCTGAGAGGATCTGGGGGCAGGCGACTGTGCAGGGCCCAGCAGAGCCTGCGAGCTCAGACCCCAGTGAGGGTCAGCCCCGCCCTGTCAGCTCTGGGGTCCCAGGCGGCCATTCCCACTCTCTGAGCCTTCCGTGGTCCCATGGACAGAATGGGTGACTACAGTGCCTGCCTTTGCCCCTCCTGGGACTGTTGCCAGGAGCAGACAGGCAGGTGCCCGGAGGGCCAGGCAGGTGCCCCGAGGGCCAGGCAGGTACCTGGAGGGCCAGGCAGGTGTCCCGAGGGCCAGGCAGGGCTGCGTAACTGCTGGGGAAAAGGGTGGTTTGTTCATTCCTTAAAATGTAAGATCCTTAATTGCTTTCAGAAACCAAGCATTCAGAAACGCAGAAAAATGTTGCTTCCAAGCCAGGCAGAGAGGGGGCAAAATATATCAAACAACGTTCAGGCCCTCACAGCTCCGTTCTGGCTCTCATCGTTCTCAGCGTAGAGAAACGAAACTCCTGCGTGAAACTTAAGAGGTGAACTTTGGGTAACTCACTATAGGGTGAAGTTTAAATGTCAACTTTCTTTCAAAATGATGATCAAAAAGAAGAAACTGGTTATGTGAAGGTCGAATACTTGACTGAGAAAGGCATCTCGCCTACGGCTTGTTTACGCACAGCCAGTGAGAGCTTGTGTGGCCCCAGCAGGGGCACGGAGAAGATCCACAGGTGGGGCAGTGAGAGCCACGCCTGCCCGTGGACTTGGTAGTTTTTATATTTAAAAATATACTGATTTCCTCCTTCACTCCATTTCAGATGTGTATGGAGAGGTGGGTGTGAGTGTGGGTGTGTGCATATGGCCTCCAGGGAGGCACTCGGCCCGCAGCAAGGATTCAAAACGCCACACTCGAGTTTTAGGAAAAAACAATAGTTTCCACCTGAGGAGCATTTTAGAGAAAAATCTAATATAAGGGGGAAAAAACCTTCCTTATTAAATGAAATTGTGGTGTAACAGCTCACCACATCCTGTTGCGGGGACATCTGACGTTAAGCAAAGTGAGTTTCCTCTTTCAGGTTCTCCCACACGCCGTGAGGGTCACATGTTACCTGCAATTCAAAATGCGCCGTGAAGGGAAAAAACCCTGTGTGTCTGTGGAAAAGCTGAATAAGAAGATGGAAATTATCAGCCGAGAGCTGGTATGGGAAACCGTAGGTGTCATCAGCAACTATACCCAAGGAAGCCGCCCCCGGAATAGCAAGGGCAGAGCTGGGCAGCTGTGGCTGACCTCATGGGTCAGAAGTGCTCGTGGCGGGAGGGAGTGGGGGGGTCCCCTCCTGTCTTTCAGCCCAGCGCCAGCGAGCCACGTGGCCTCAGACCGACCCCCGGGATGGGCCCGTTGTCCACCTGTGAAAGGGGAAGCTGTGGCTTTCCTCAGGGTTGCAGCACAGGCCGCGTCTGCGGGGTGAGTGCAGCTCCACGCAGGGCTCTTCTCCGCGGTGTGGACGGTTGGGCAGCGCGGCCTCCTCTGCGGTTCGGTTGCTGTGCCATCCTCTGCTGAGTGGCATCGGGGTTGTCTCTCCCGCTCTCTGTCAGCTGCTGCTGTGGGGCGTCGGGAAGGCACTGGAGGGTGCCTGGGCTGTGTCCGATCCCAGCCGTGTGTCCCTGCAGTGTCTGAGACCTTGTGGGACACACTTGACCCGGCGCTGGGACAGGGTCGGCTGACACGCACCGCCAGCCCACAGAGTAGGGTGCAGGCTGCTGGCTCCTTAGGCCCCGACAGCTCTCACAAGGCCGGCCCTCCTCCCCTCCCCTCCCGAGGGCTCAGCAGCCGCAGACAGAGGCAGAGAGAGCAAAGGAGGCTGTGGTGGTCTCCGGCGGGAATCTGGGTGGCTAGGGGACACACCGAGGAACTTTCCCGCCCCCCACCAGGCTCTCCCACCAAGGCTCAGGTGCCCGTGGGCAGCAAGGGGAAGCCCCACTGCCACACCGCTTCCCCTTTCACCCCTCAGCAGACGTGCCCCTCCTGTGCCCGTGGAGAGCAAGACGGCTCTCGGCTGCCATGCAGGCGGCCTGTCCCACAAACACGATGGAGACCTGAGATGCCGTGTCCACGTTGTCACCGTCACTATCACCCATCATGTCCCCTCACTATTGCCCTCAGGCCTCCCCACGTTCCATCATTACTACCCCTCAGGCCTCTCTACATCCCACCATTATTACCCCTCAATCCTCCCCACGTCCCACCATTATTACCCCTCAATCCTCCCCCACGTCCCACCATTATTACCCCTCAATCCTCCCCACGTCCCACCATTATTACCCCTCAGGCCTCCCCACGTCCCACCATTATTACCCCTCAGGCCTCCCCACGTCCCACCATTATTACCCCTCAGGCCTCCCCACATCCCACCATTATTACCCCTCAATCCTCCCCACGTCCCACCATTACTACCCCTCAGGCCTCCCCACGTCCCACCATTATTACCCCTCAGTCCTCCCCACATCCCACCATTATTACCCTTGAGTCCTCCCCAAATCCCACCATTATGACCCCTCAGGCCTCCCCACGTCCCATCATGACTACCCCTCAGACCTCCCTTCTGTCCCCTTCATCATTGCCTCTCAGGCCTCCCTCCTGTCCCTGTCACTGTTACCCTTCATGACCCACCCACGGCTTCATTAGTTCCTTGTCGTGTCCCCGTCTTTCCCGTTTGTATCATTTAGGACTCTTTCGACCCCACAATCACTATTCTGACTGGAGTCCTTTCTTCTGGAGCTCCGCAGGCCGGGGCTGGGTGAGGACCTGAGCCTGGCCCTCTTCATGCATTGAGCAGCCGCCCTCCCACAGGTGGGGCCTGTTCTGAGCTCCCGGAATCCCCGCCGTGTCTCCCTCCTGAGCAGCTGGCTCCTCCTGCCTCCTTGCAGATGTCTTTTGTTGCAAGGCTGAACCAGTGCAATGGGAAGAGAGTTAACTGGTCTCAAATTCTGGGGCATCCCCGTCTCGTGCCACAGGTGCCGAGCACAGCAGGGCGTGGGGCTCCTGGGGGACGCTGCGCTCAGCAGCACGGTGGGCGCCAGGACGCTGAGGAACCAGCAGCCCAGGGCGTTTGGGTGGGGCCGTTCGACCTCTTAAGGAGCAGAGCCCTCTTCCTCTCTGCATTGTGCCGAGGCCCTGTGGCGCCGCCCGAGTGTCACGGAAAGTGCCTGTGGCATAGGAGCTGCCGCGCGTACTCCGGACAAGTCGGGTCCTGCATGCCCATCCAGGAGCACCTGGGCCCTGCTAGGGAATCCTCATTAGTGTTTGTGAAGAGTCACACGGAGGGCGGGAGCCCGGGCTCCTTCTGGTGCCTTCCACACCGGGGGCGGAGCCCTCTGCAGAGAGCCTGGCTCTGTGTCCTGTAGCTGAGCGCCAGGTCCCGTCCTGGGCAGGGGCCAGGTTCAGCGGGGCCTCTGAGCAGGGCTGGCGGGGAGCCCACGTGTGCCTGTGTCTTTATGGAGGCTGAGCTCCCACACAGGACGGAGTCGGGACCCTCTGTGGGCAGCGCGTCAGGAGGTGCTGCAGGTGGGGCTGGGCGTGTGGGGCACCTTCACTTGCCCGGTCTCTGGCCCCACAGCCCTTGGGCGAGCCGGCCTGGGGTGTGTGTTTGCAGCCAGGATTCCTCCTGGAGCTCAGTGCCAGTGCGTCCCTGTTATCAGTTTCCATGACACAGTTCCTGGTTCTCCATCTGTGTTTTGTTATTGTTATTCTTAAAAATAGTCAGGGGGGTTGTTGAAAGGGAATTTAGGGAAGTGAGTGGGGTGATGAAATGCACACCCACTAATTGCTCCAGGAAAAGCCGCCCTGAGACAGGCCGGGGCCTTTGCAGAAACACATGGGGCTTATCTGGGCTCTGGGAGCTCCAGCCCAGGGCAGAGGGAAGCCCGGGCAGTTCCGTGACGTCAGCGCACGCCCTGCCAGAACCTGGGAGGGAGATGGGACGTGGTGACAGTGCTGGGGGCACATTCCCTATCTCAGCGCCCATCAGGGCAGCCGCGGCAGGAGGTGGGTGGAGCGGGGATGCCGGCAGCTCACAAAAGGCCCTCGCAGTGCCGCTTGTTTCCTCTGCATCTGCCAGAAGTCACAGGTGACGGGGACATCACAGGTGTGTGGGGGACTCAGGGACACCGCCGTCCAGGTGACGGGAACATCACCGGTGTGTGGGGGACTCAGGGACACCGCCGTCCAGGTGACAGGGACATCACTGGTGTGTGGGGGACTCAGGGACACCGCCGTCCAAAGGGAAATAAAAATCAGGAAGAGCCTGAGAGGGAGGCTCAGGCAACACTGGTGCTGACCCCACGGAAGTGCTGGTGTGGACCCGCGGGTCGCTGGGTCTGTGGAGAGACACCCGTGGCATCTTCGCAGCTTCGCGGCCAGCACCTGGCACCTGCACTTTGGCCGTCAGAGACGTGCTGGCACCGTGCTACGGACGAGGGTGGGTTTCTGCTAGCAGAAACCTGGCGACCCCAGCTCTCTGCCGAGACAGCCAGGCGCTGGTTCACGACACTCATGGACCAGGGTGGGACCGAGGAGGAAATGCAGGTTCCTGGGGGGAACGCCTTGTCACAGGCGTGAGCGTCACTGACGAGAAGCAGGGCTGGGGGCGTTTCTTTGATGTTTATAGATACTTGCTGGAGAGGCGTGTTTGCCTAATACTTTCTCAATTTTTCTTTTCTTGCAGTAAATGAAATAATACGAAATGACCTCTCCAGCACGAGCACCCACTCCTAGTTGCCACATTGGAGCACTCGGTTCAGCGGGGCTGTGCTGACTTCAGCAGACAGAGACTTTTGAATAAATAAACTGAACACACAGCTGGTACCACTCGGAACCTCCAGTTGGCTGAATGCTAGGAGCTGAACATTAATACGTGCAACGACGTGGCTCTCCACCAAGAAGGAAAGCCCGGAAGAAGGGAGGCCACTGTGTCTCCTGGAGAAGTCATCTCACGACAACAGAAGGGAGGTGGCTGGGCTGAGACAGGAGACCCACCGTGCAGGGGCCTTTCATGGGAACGGCCCACATGCAGTCTGACCCCAAGCCCAGCCCTTCTCGCAGCCCTGGGGTTCAATACTGGAAGTGCCTTATTTAACTCGACAGGGCATCGTAGAACTGAGCATTGGATTTGCTACTGTAGGAGTATTTGTAGGAGCAGAAACTGTAAACACATTTCATTGTGAGGTTTTACCCTTTGTATGAACGAAGAGAACACTGGCAGGCTGCGGGAGGACCCTCATACGAGTCTCCTACGTTTGGAACGTTTTCTGGGCTGTCACGTACAACCTTGCTGCCTCACCCAGTGTGTTCTAGAATCTTCCAGTCTGTCATCTCAGCTCTTCTGTAACACGCTTCCCTCGTCTGTGCAGTCGAAACCGTAGGCCTGTTCATAGTCGCATGCTAGCATCTTTGTTTTTAATCTGGCTTCGAACATGGCACAAGTAAGTTGAATAGCACATCAATAGGTTACTGGACAAAAGCAGAAAAACCTGCTACAGGATAGACTGCATTTGCATGTGTGTACATATCTAGGCATCTATTTATGGATAAATAATAAAAGAGCCGATGCGTCCTCGCCCGGGAGGGCTTCCCTGTCAGCAATAACCGGCATTCGTTTTGGAACCTGCATCTGGGGCTCCGGGCGCTGCTCTTGCTGGCGTCCATCGCCGCCTCGGACGGCTGTGCATTTTCTCGTCGCGTGCAGTTCGAGGAGGACCCCAGAAAGCCAGGAGCTGTGATTCACAGTAGCTGTAGGTTACCAGACGGCAGCATTAGAAAGGGATTGTAAATAACATGCAACATGAGTGTAACATATTTGTTCAGTTATAAGATGATTGTTTCACAGAAGCCTTACCACTCTTTGCTTCATCTAAGAAAACCAATACCAAAAACGACGCTTTAATGAACGCTCAGCCCCGCGTAGTGTTTTCAGATGAGTTACGGTTAACAGATTGGTTCATGTAGGCTTTGCTGTGGCACTTTGTACAATTAACTGCTTATTACGTATGATTACTCGCAGTGATCTATTGTTCCATATAACCCAAAAGCATGGTTTATTCATTAAAACACGGTTGACCTGAACTCGTGCCTTAGGAATTAATGCCCCCTCATGGAACCTGCTTGAACTGCACCTGCGGGTGGAGGCTCCGGCTGTGAACGCCACTGATGGAGAAAGGGCTCCTGCAGGAGGAACGGCCTGTGACGTGCACTCCGCACGATCGCGTCTCGTGTCTCCCTCACAGAAAGAAACACCCTGAAGGCCATCCCGTCAGTCTGCACGCAACCGTGAAGACGTGTGGCCGCGTCCTGCCTGCAGCTGGGTACCCTGCACCCGGCATCCTGGGAGTCACATGCAGCCTTTCTCAGGGGACTGCCATCGAAAAGGAAACGTTTGATGTCTGTGTCAGCTGTAGTTAGGAAATAGATCCAATAAAGCCGTATTTTTTTTTGCTGGACAGGCATCTGCGCGTGGTTCATGACATGCGTGGAAGATTCCGCTTTGTTCTTGGTGTTTGCAGTTGGGTATAATTGGATCGTCTGTGAGACGAGCTTGTGTTGGGAAGGCTTGTAGACGCGGCCGTTCGCCGTTGGAAGGGCATCTTGCCAGTACAGCTCGTCCCTTTCTTCTATGTTTAGGTGAAAACCTGCTGTAGAAATTTGCGAGACGCCGGATAGTTCCCAGGCCCTGTAACTGAAGCGGCTCAGAAATGTTCATCCGGGCGAGGTGGAGAAGGAACTCCTGCTAGTGCCAAATGTTTTTGCTGAGAGGAATATCCTGGGTGAGGCTTTGGCCACACGCACAGTCACATGCCATTTGACAGTCCTCTGGCGAGGAAGCGTGTGTGTGGAAAGCCGCAGGTTCTCGCCGTCTCTCCCTGCTTCTTGAAGCTGCTCTTCCCCTTTTCCCCACCCAAGCTCCCTACTTCATGTTTGGGTGGGAAAATGTTACCTGGCCATGAGTTAAAATATGAAACTTGGAACTTTTACAGCAATTACTGTTCTCATGTTTCAGAAACATTTTTCATTTAGGACTTTACAAAATGCAAGAATTCCAATTTCTTTTGCTCAGAGGTGTTCAGGTTGAGTTAAAGGACTAGAGAAGTCATCACCACTTAAACAATTAGTAAGCATCTATCCCCCGGTCTTCTGCACTTGACAATATTTGAAGTGAGCCTGAGAACACTGTCAAAGAGCCCACGTGCGGTGGTGTGAGGAGAGCACAGGAGGCCAGCGTTCCGGGGGAGCGGGAGGAGACCCCGCAGGCGTCAGGAGCCCTCAGCTGTCAGGGAGCAGGGAAGGTCCCACGTGCGGTAGTGTGAGGAGAGCACAGAGGCCAGTGTTCTGGGGGAGATCTCAGCTCTCAGCGAGTGGGGGAGTTGGTTAAGCCCTTGCTTTCCTCCAGCTGGCCCCAGTCAGGGCCTAACAGAGCCTTGGACTATTCAGCCCCGAGGCGGCCAGCACGTGCCCATCGCTTCCCTCTGCTGAGAGCAGAGCTGTCCACGCAGAATGCACTGGAAGCTCTTCCTTGGTTTCAAAGTGACCTTTTGAAACCACCTTGCTTGTTCTCAACCCCAGTAATAGAATATTCCAAAATCTTGAATGTATAAAGTGATAGTTTCTGCAAAAGAGGTTGAGCTTCTGCGAATAACCCTCTTAGTGTTTGTGCCTTTTAGGGTGATTTTGAGTAACTAGAAAAATGCACCCACAGGCTGATTACCAGCCAGAGGTTCTGCCTGTCAGGGGGAAAAGCTATCGGGCAGTTACGTGCGCCACCCTCACGTGTACACCAGAACCAAGACTGCGTTTTCCTGGAAGGCTAAGAGAGGTCAGCTTCGGGAGGCAGCGGAACCACCTTCCTGGTCTTCGCTGGCCTCTCTAGGACGTGGTCCTCGGTGACCAAAATCCTGGGGGAACCTGGGGGATGGGGCGTTTTCTGAGACCCAGCCAGAGGCAGGGCAGCCGCAGCCGCCCACAAGACCACATGCGCTTTGCTCCTGAGCAGACTGGGTGGCACGAAAGTAATGAAGTACCAAGTTTCCCCTCAGAGCCAAGTGGAGCCCAGGAAAGACCCAAGTGCTCGAGCTTCCGGCCCTGGCAAGGGCATCTCGTTACATGAACAACCTGGGCCCCTTCCCCCAGCATTCCCCTCCCCAGCCGGGACGCACCCTGGCCCCGCTTCTAGAGAAGGACCCAAAAAATCAGCTGTTTCCGCCAGTTCTGCCACATTCCCCACACGGCGTCCCCACCAGTGACGTCACCGGAGGTTGTCTCATCTCAACGTGAATATTTTTAAAAATATGTTCCGTGTTGAGATTAACAAGCTACACCTGAGTGAATGAGTGGCGCGAGCTCAGGGCACGCTGACACCGAGATAAAATAACCTCATTAGGAGAAGTCCGGGACCAGCTTTGTGGGTTTTTTAACACTGTAAATTCACATAAGATGAAAGCAACCACTTTAAAACATACAATTCCGTGGTGGTTTGTACATTCACAAGGTTGTGTAGCCACCACCTCTGTGTCCATAATCTTTTTGTCACCCCCAGATAAAACCCCGTGGCCTTCAGCAGCTGCTCCCCGTGTCCTCCCCGCCCCCTGCAGTCCCTGGGACCTCGGGTTAACGCGCCTCTGGATTTGCCCGTCCAGGCATTTCATGTCAATGGAATCATAAATGTGGGGCCCTTTGTGGCTGGTGTCTTCCCCGTAGTATGTTTCCAAAGGTCATCAGTGTTTCCCAAGGTCACCCGTGTGGTCACGTGGGTCAATATTTCATCCCTTTTTATGGCCAAGTCATGTTTCCCGGGTGATGGGGACCCCACGTCGCGCTGCCCCTTTGTCGGCTGGTGGGGCACGGTGGCTCCCACCTCCTGGCTGCCGTCAGCTGCGCTGCTGTGAACGCTGGTGTTCAGGTTTTTGTTCAGGTCCCTGTTTTCAATTATTTGGGGCATATTCCCTGGGAGTAGAACTCCTGGGTATTACGGTAATTGCATGTTTAACTTTTTGAGGAACTGTTTTCTCCTCCTCAGTTTTTAAATTATCCATCCCTAAGACAGATCCTGGCTCACTAACCTAATTTGGAATCACATATGTGAAGCACATCATATTTATAATTATTTATGCCAAAAAAATTAAGTTAGGTAGAAGATGACTAAATGTTCATTTATACCAAAGCAGAAAGCAGACCCCCCAGCCAACCCCACCTGCAGCCCC